CATTCTTGTACACCATCCCAGTGGAGATAGAAGTGGAAAAGGCAAGGCCGAATTCTAACTTCTGGAAAATTCCTTCATCCCATATAACAATATACAGTTTCGTGTTTCACCCAGAGCCCTCACAACAATCACACAGTGATGCATGAAATTGAGCTAACTCCGTGGAAAGAAATGCAAAAGTTTAATTTTTATGCAGCTTACTTTTTTTCCTTGCCTGAATTTTTCCCAAGGAAGTAGGGTGGTTGAAATACTAAAAAGTTACACTTATTTTTACTAACATTTCCCAAAGAGTTACTTCAGTGTCTCTAGCGGTTTTCAGTCATTTTCTTCATACCAGATTCACCAAAAGAACATATATACTGAAGATCTAATGGAGAAACTATCTGCATAACGTAATGTCAATAGACCATTTTCCGTTCACTGCGAGAATCACGCGTTATGCGTGAAATCGAACGTAAAAACAGTTTAAACAAAGGTCATAGCGTCGTAGTCGCGTCAAACATCGCGTGGGATTCGACAAACGCGAAAGTATTTCGGGGACATTTCCATGCTTAATAATGTGCTGTCCACATTTGATGATAGGCAATTTCGATTAAGTAAGGGTATTCGGAAGCAATATTCCTCTGTCGAAGATCGGCCGGTCAATGTAAGCTGCGAAATAAAGAAATTCTAGTTCAAAATCAAATCGTTCGATTTTTGCGGCAGACGTTCGACGCGCGTCTTTCATGCATCTCGCGAGATCTCGCAATTGTACGGAAAATCACCGATTCTATGTTAGTCGTTCAGCGTGAATTTGGCTTAACTTTTTCAATGTACAATTCAAGCTTAGAAATGCTGGACATTTCGGCCATTATTTTTTTTTCAAAGGAGGGTGTTTCAGCCTCTTGTAATTTGTTTTCTTGTTGTCGTCGCTCCACACATGCGTGAGATATATGGTCTCGTATAAACAAATATGGTGATTTTGACTGTTGCGCAGATCAACGAGTACAAACTGAGACGTTTCCAAGCTTTAATTAGGTCATTTTTAGGTGATTGGATGGTATCGAAGGAGTCACCGGTGGTATTCAGTGCAAGTCGCACCCAGGTCAAACCTCATACGTGATTTTGAAGAGCACATTGGATTGTGGGAAATCAATGTTTATCAACACAACTGGCGCACATGCGCAGCGCGACAACCACCACCCTTTAAACTACTTTTTTTGTATTCATTCGTAAAACGTACAGATAATTATTAAGATTACAAAACACCCACGGCCGAAATGCCTGTCTCTGCTGAGAAGTACAAACCCACAAATATTCTCAGCTGTGGTATATATACGAGCGTTATGTATTAGTGTATTGCAATCACAAGTGAAGTGGTTGGCAAATTTGCAAGCCAGTGAGGCAAGTAGCCGACTGAATGACTGACTAGGGGTATTTAGGGATGTTGTTCCAGCTATAATTAAGAATTGCACCCACAGTAAAAATAGGTGATTTTCCGTACAATTGCGAGATCTCGCGAGATGTATGAAAAACGCGCGTCGAACGTCTGCCGCAAAAATCGAACGATTTGATTTTGAACTAGAATTTCTTTATTCCGTAACTCACATCGACCGGCCGATCTTCGACAGAGGAATATTGCTTCCGAATACCCTTACTTAATCAAAATTGCCTATCATCAAATGTGGACAGCACATTATTAGTCCCTGTTCGGACGGAGTCCGAAAACGGGGACTTATGTTTTGCCCTGTGTGCGTCCGTCCGTCCGTGCGTCCGTCCGTGATCACCTGTATCTCGAACATGCATGGACCGATTATGTTCAAACTTCACTCATACATCACACATTATATGGGACATATGCACATGCATTTTTTTCATGATCCGATTAACGATAGCCGAATAGCGGCCATTTTAAGGCCGAAAATGCATCAAAATCGCACATTTTCACCATTCCGGACCCGGATCTCAGTTATGCATGGACGGATTTCGTTCAAATTTGGTACATACATTAAACATAATAGGACCTTGATGCACGTCATTTTTTTTTCGGATCAAGTTCGAAATGGCCGACTGGCGGCCATTTTGTTTTAAAGAATTCAGTTCTGGATCCGTATCCGAGACATGTCTGGATTGATCAAGTTCAAACTTCACACACACAAGGTACATCATGTCACAAATATGTATGTGTATTTGTTTCATGATCCCATTAACGATAGCCAAATGGCGGCCGCTTTAAGGGCGAAAATGCATTGAAATCGCACATTTTCACCATTCCGAACCCGGATCTCAGTTATGCAT